TCATCACTCAACTCGTCATCACTTCTCTCTTCGGTGTCTTCTTTGGTCTCGGATTCCAATTGAAATCCCGGCGGAAGTGGTGGTCCAATGAGGTCTGAGTCCGAATCAGAGTCGTCTTCATTCGCCATAATTGTCTGCTTTTCAGTCGATTTGTTATCACTTTTATCATCAGATTTGATGTCTTTATTCGGCGCCTCTTTAGTCTCGGAACTGTTAGTCGAGTCGTTCTTATCGTCGATATCACCACTCGATTGTCCGAAAACTTTCCATTTATTAGCGTTCGGTCTTTCGGCCAACAGTTTCTCGATATCAAACTTTTGGGCACTTTTTGACTCATTCTTCGTCGAACTCTTCGTCCGACCGAACGTCGAAAAGCCCATCACTTCCGTCATGTGTTTGTCTTCGGGATCCTGTAGTGAATGGTCTTCTTTGGGTTGCATTGATTTGGGAATCGTTTGACTCCTTTTGGTGGCGGAATTCAAGTCGAATTTGAATCCAATTATCTTCTTGTTGTCCACCGCTTCCATAGTTCTGTACTTCTCTGAAACAATGGCAACATTATACCAACCGACAGGTCACCGAAACAATGGTGCCATTGATTACCTCTTAAGAACTTCATTTCCTCCAAGTCTTCGTCCTCCATGTCCACCGATATGTCAATCACTCGTTAGACTGTAATAGTAATCACAAAATGTTGTAAACAAACGTTTGGTTGTGTTTTGCAGTCAAATGAGGGACCGATTCATCAAAACGTTTCGTTACTACAAATCCAATGCTCTGTTGCCGAGAGAGTGGCCCACAGTTGGACTCACACACAGTGGCCGACACACCGGCGCTTCGGTCGACCGCTAATTGCATTCAATTCACGCAACAAATCGGAAATAACTTAAAATTTATTTTTATTATAAAATTATATTCAATGAGAAATGGATTGAAGTTTTAATTTAAAGTAATTTTTACAAAATTCCTAAAATATAATATTAAATAAGATTGAGATTTAAAACATTCAGTTTTCGTCACATATTAACAAATAGTCTAATAATCAATTGGTTTTGAAACATAAAGTGAATTTATTTTTAAAATGAGAATTACTTTCAATAATTACAAAAGTAATTAATTTACTGTCTGTTCAATCATTCGTTACTTTAATTATTTTAATTTAATTTACGGTTTGCCGTCAAATAGGGGATAACTATATGATAGCAATGATTGTAATGTCTGTTAAATGAGTCCCTTTTTCTTCTTATATTCGTCTAAATTCAGTGATCGTCTGTTAGTGGGCTTCGGAGTCATGAATGAACTGTTGCTCGAAGTGAACGAACTGTTTGAGAAGCTGTTGGCCGAAGATGTGGCGGCGATTCCGATGTCGACATCGAAATCGATTTTAATGTCGAAATTATGGGCAGAGAAGAGGTCGTTGTGATGACCGGGCGATAGCGGCTTCTCAATGGCCACCGGAGTCTTAAACAACGAGTCCGAACCGTTGCTTTGATCACTGGGTGTGACATCTTTGCCCTTCTCTTCAGTAGATTCTGCAATGGAAACCGATTTATTCAAGTCTTCCGCAGAGGAGTCCACTTCCGATTTGATCGATTGATTCATTTGTTTGTTTTTGTTGAACATATGAATCATAGTAGGCATGCATTTACGGCGAGTGAACGGGTCCTGCGAGTCATCGGCCTTTTGGGCGGCGCTCTGCTCTACCAACGCCTTCTCGGACTCCAATATATTCCGCATACGATTGCGTTCATTGATGTACGAAATGGCGGCAATATTCTGAGTCCTCTTTTTGTCCAACTTCTTGGCCTCGGCCTCCAGTTCGTCGATCTCTTGAAGGATGCGTTCGACGGTTTCGTTGTCACCGATCAGTTCCGCGGTCTCTTTGGCTCTCATAAGACTATTCTTTTTCATCGCGTAATTCACGGGACGGTTGTGGAAGCGCTCCTTCTCCTGGACTATGGACTCGATGTCATCGTTGGTGTAGCTATAGTTCAGTGCGTTCTGAATGTCCCGCTTCTTGCGCTCATAGAACTCTTTGGAGGGCAGTTCGCAGCGGTCTTTGTCCATAGAGGCGGTCCACTGCTGGAACTCCACGGCCTGGATGGCGGTGTCCGACACGAACTCGAGTCGATACACGCGTTCGGCTTGCCTTCCGTGTTTCAATTTGATGCCTTTGTTGGTCCGGGTTTTGCCCAAATTGTAAACCTTCGGCGTCTCCGTCACGTCTGTGATCTGCGCGACCACATAGCGATTGGTTTTGGTGGTCGGGTTCAGACCGATGCCGATCCGCACGAAACATCCGGTGACCGTCTCCTTGAAGAACGGCGAGTGACACCAGCGCTCCATCTTATGGCGCGACAGACGGATCTCATTCAAGTGCTCCGCCGTCAGGACCCACGCCTCCACCTCTTCGTCGCGATCGCTGTTGCGGTCGTCCCAGTCGTCCGAAGACTTCTTATTGCTGTTTTCGTTACGCGATTTTCCTTTAATATCGTCGTCTGAATCGTCCGAAGAGGATGAGGACGACGATGAAGACGTGGATGACTTGCGGCCGGCGTTCTTGTCGTCGTCGGAGTCCGAGTCGGATGAGTAGACGTCCGCCGCTCGGAGTCTCTGTTGTTTCAGTTTCTCCCTCTTCTTCTCGCGAATGGACTTCAAGTCTTTGATGGCGTCCTTCACTTTCCTCTTGTCCTCCAAATTACGGCGCCTTTCGGTACTCCTCTGCGAGACATCCGTTTGGCTTTTGTTGAGTTCCTTCTTCTTCGCCATCCGGAGCTTCTTCTCGATCTCAAAGCGCGTCTTCAGAACCTCTCGTTTCTCGGACCGATTGAAGAGCTCCTGTTCCCTCTCCTTCTCAGTCATGAGTGACAGTCTCTTCTGGTCGTCTTCGTCGCCCAACAGGTTCTCGTCGTAGCCGTCGTTGAACTCCTCGACGTCCTCGTCGTCGTCCTCCACCTCTCCCTCCTCTCTCTCCTCACTCTCCGCCTCCTGTTTGACGGCTCGCTTCGCCTTCTTCTTGGTCTTCACTTTCGACGTCTTCTTCGCATTCCAGTCGCCGTCCTCTCCATCAGAACTCGAGGACGAGTCGCTCGACACACGACTCGCCTTCGAGTGCGACACCTCTTCGTCCGAACTCTCAGACGAACCCTTCTTTCGTTTGGCCATCGCTTCCGGCAGTCGATCGCACTCTCGAGTCAACCAACCAATCGGTGACAGTCTTTGCGCTGAAGAAGTGGTCAATCATTTCAAAGACAATTAAAACGCATTTTCGTGGAGAATGTCACGACATTTGCAACACTTTTCACATTTTTGGGCCAATTATTCAAACAAAACCACAAATCATATCAATTAATGCTTACGTTTTGGACACCAATTGGGGATCCGATCGACGATTACTTCAATTAAAACTCAATTTAATCTCAATTTTTGGATTCAATTCACAAAAGAATTCATTTTTGACTAAAAATCCGATTTCTAGTGAAATATTTGCTATAAATTACGTCCAAATGGTGTGCTTTTGCCGCTAAATATCGATTCAGTCGTCTATTGATTGGTGTTTTGCTGTGATTTACAAATAGTTAATGTTTTAAATCCAATTAAATGTGAATTCATAGCACAATCTAACAAACAGTTCACGTGAAATGAAAAAATTAAATAAAAAAGTGCTAAAAAACTCATAATCGATGCAAAAGTATGCGCCCGAACAGGGACTCGAACCCTGGACCCTTAGGTTAAAAGCCTAATGCTCTACCGACTGAGCTACCCGGGCAACAGTTACAAGTGTTGTCCACTATTCCCTATTTATTAATCGCTCAGAATATGATAGCATAGAAACTTACAGCATATTAGATATCCGGCAAACAGTCCTTGAATTAGTTAATACGAGATATGAGCCAACAATTGGACACCAATTGTGCATCAATTGAATAAAAATGATGTTTTATTAGGTCTTCTCTGGAATGCATCCGAAATACAAGAGAGTTAACAGAAGTTATAATTTAAAGCGAAGTCAATGTGACTCAGAATTAATAGAAATTATTAATTATTCAATTAAACGGTTTATTAATTGAGTGATTGGTTTAAATCGTGAATTCTTAATAAAATCCTAATTTGTATGAAAACACTAGTAGTTATAGCTCTGAATGGAGGTGTCGTTCATCTTCACTGTGCTGTTGGCCCCAACACACGGATGGAGTCCTGAAGTCGAACGCGTATTCACATCGGGAGGGCTCGGAGGCGGCCAACACCTCATTCTCGGTGCCGCAGCTGAGGTGTACGGTGACAGACCTAACGGGTCCGTTCCAGCACTGGGCGCCCCCTTCGTACTTCATTCGCGTGTATTTGTTATTCTCGTCGCCAAACCATTTGCCCCAACGACTGGTCAAACAAATGATAACATTTTTAATGAGTAACCTTTTGTAAGAGTGGTGCTCAAGACATACCCTAAACTAGTCTCAGAGCCACCGTTTTTGGGTCGTTGAGAGGCGCTATCGAATGGACACAACTTATAAGTGTACTCGAGATCCGTTAACTCAAAGCACTGGCCCTGAAGTGCCATAAACTCATCATTGGGTCCGAAATCAGTCTCGAAAGTGACTTCGATTTCGCGAATCTTGTTAGTGATGTCCAAATACCTTCCCTCCACCTCAGAGTAGGTATCTCTCGCCTGTTTGGCCTTTTCTATCAATTGTTTGGTTTCGTCGTCGTATTCAAGTGAAGGCTCCTGTGGTGTAGTCGTGGTCTCAGGCTCTGGATCTTTGGGTGGAAAGAAAGGCGGAGGAGTGTCCTCTTCCTCCTCGTCCTCTCCAGGCTTTCGATACATTTAAAATAATTTTAATAATAACTCATAACATAATTATAAGTTTAAGCATATAATTAGACATTAGTTTAAAACAATGGTATTATTATAGGTTAGTCTAAAATTAGTCTAAAATCTCACCAGTGGTTCGCTCTCATCAGCAGTGGGCTCATCAATGGGTTCTGTTTCTGTATTATCACTGGTATCGGGAGAGGGTTCAGATTCTGAGGGATTAGTATCTGTTTGTTCATATTCTGTCTGTTCCTGTGTTTGGAATTCATACTGTTATTGCGGACACAATTCAATACAAATTAGATTTAATGCAAAAGCGTTATGTATTGCATGCAAAATACTGAACATAAGTTTAAAACAAACCAATCGTTTATCCTTCAGATAAAAGGGTTTCATTATAACCCAACCCGACTCCACAAACTCGTCGATTGCCATTTCAGTGGCCGCGTGAATGAAGAACTGCTTGAAAAATGGATTAAATTGTAATCATTTGCTACTAAATTATGGTCATAATTGGTCCATACCTTTGCCTCATCCTCAGTGACAGTTCCGTCGCCGTCTTTGTCGAATTTGGGGAACTGTTGTACTTCTGTGTACGACAGGAGTCCGTCATTGTTGAGATCCATTTCTTTGAAGGCCTGCTCTGCAAACCTTCGCTCCACCTCTTGATTCTTCTCGAGTTCCTGTTCTTCTTTTTCGCGTTTTATCTTATCCTCCATTTCCTTATAGACGTCGAGCGCCGCCTTTTCCCTGTCCTCCGCGTCCTTCTTGATGGCATCCTTCGTGTTCTTCTCCTCCTCCACCTCTTGTTTCCTTCGTTTCAATTCTTCGAGTTCTTGTTTGGAGTTCTCTTTCTTTTGTTTCGCTTCAGTAATATATTGCTCGCGAATGGCGTTCCCCTCCTTAAGAAGCCTCAGGTGTTCTTCCCTATCCTGTCGTAACTGTTCCCCCATTTCGAGACAATTGTTGGCACATTGGGCTGAACTGTTGTACTCATCGCTGGCATCGCAACAATCTTTAAGACACAACCAGTGTATCAATGCATTGATCGACAAACCTTTTAATCACGCAATCCTTACCACATATACCATCGTTGACTCGTGAGGACGGGATCAGACTCTCGAGGTATCCGAGATTAGAGCAATGAAAGAGGCCATTAGGACAGGCATTAGTTCCCGGCTCATCACTGCCGTCCTCGCAGTCACAGTAGTCGTCGTTGACTAACATAAATGGCAGAGAAGCCGATCCGTCCAGACATTGAAAGTCTTTGTTCGGGTCGTAGAATATCTTCCCTGAAATACAAGACAATTAGTGACAAATCAAATGCATAGACGAGTGGATCAAATAAGTGATAATTACTGTCGAGAGACACTCCTCGAGGTCTGAGCACTTCAGTCACGCTTTGGATGTCCTCTAAAAACGATAATAAATATATAAATACTAAACAAAACGTCGATTTGAAAGACATTTGTGAATGCATTTCAATCTTAAGACTAAGATTTATACGAAAACTCTAAAACATGTGTTAATTATAACAACGATTTGATTAAAATTGTCTTTAAATACAAAACATGTAAACAATTTCGGTGTAAATAAGTGTTTGTTGTCGTCATAGAAACCACTTATTATAACGTGTACTTCAGTGGCACTGTTAGGTTAGGTTAGGTTTGCTTAGGATTCTAGTGAACACTACATTCACAACTTATTAACACTTAGTCTACCTGGGTGATGTTATCACTAATTAATTGTGAACACATGCACTGTAAAATTAAACGTGAAAATTACTGTAACATTATATTATAATGTGCTTGATTACATGATAGTATCACTGCTCATCTCTCTCTCTCTCTCTCTCTCACTCTCTCTCTCTCACTCTCTCTCTCAATTTATCACTCAATCAAAAATAAGAAATAAATTGATTTTAATTTCGGAATTATTTTTAATTTTGAATACAAAAATGAAAAAATAATAAAATTTAATCATTAGTTGTGGTCTTCATATGTGACTTCTGGGGGCCAATCGGTGTTGATTTCCTAATCATTGAATGAAATACAAAATTAGTAAAACAAAAGTCAAATAAACAACTGATAGAGTACTGCATACCATGACATCAAGTTGTATGATATCTGCGGCACAATTGCCGCCCAAAACAGTCGCCAAAGAGGGTTCTGTGCGACCGAAGTCCGAGTGAAAATAAATATTACCGTAATAACTGATAGAGTACTGCATACCATGACATCAAGTTGTATGATATCTGCGGCACAATTGCCGCCCAAAACAGTGGCCAAAGAGGGTTCTGTGCGACCGAAGTCCGAGTGAACAAACTCTTTGATATAAGTTCCGGCCTCTGCTCTCATATGCAGATAAAACATGCGGTCAATGAATGCCTTAAACTCCTCGTCCACATCATCTTCAGTCACTCTCTGAGCCCATAGTTTATAGACGTGTTTCTGGCGCACAGATAGTGTCCGTCGATGTAATACACGAATCGGGGTCTTCTGGTCGATCACAAAATCGTCGCATTTGGACAACAACTCAATGTCTGCGTCGGTGAGAGGACGGCTCAGACAACAAAGAGCTCTATAAGTCTTTGTCTTTTCATTTTCTCCCTCTTTAAGGCATTGGATATCGTTTTTGGATACAATCTGAAGATCTCTTACGCCGACATCTTTTTGTGTGCCATTAATTGCGGACATAATTTGGCGGAACTGTATGTCAGAGACTGTAGTGACTCTGGGATTGCATACTTCGAGAATGAATGGTCGGCCCCGACCTAACATCCGCACGTCCACGTCCTCACGGCCTGAAGCGCTGAACTTTAATTGATCGCACGGAACTGTATGTCAGAGACTGTAGTGACTCTGGGATTGCATACTTCGAGAATGAATGGTCGGCCCCGACCTAACATCCGCACGTCCACGTCCTCACGGCCTGAAGCGCTGAACTTTAATTGATCGCAACTAATGATCTCTTGGACCTTGTCTTGAATGATGTCCTGAACGCTGCTCTCCATAAGCCGTTCCCCGTCGAGAAGCCACGGGGTTTGAGACAGACGTCTACTATACTTGCAATACCGGCCCGCGATATGAATGGCATTATTTGTCAATTTAATTGAATCCAAATCACAGTTACTTTTAGGGGCAGTCATTGACCACTCGTAGAGCACATGTCTGTCCATATCAGCCACGGCTCGCAATATGGATGACTGGTTGAGGAATGATTTTGTGGCCGATTTGCGACATTTCTTCGGGAAGAATGCTTTTGGTGTCAAATCGTAGAAGAGTTGGCACTCATTGTCACTGTCTTTATATGTGAAGTCGAGTGCGATATTGAATGTCGAGTTCGTGTCAAACGGTTTGCCAACTAATCTCTTCTCTAAGGCATCGATGAGTATCACTCTTAAGATATCTTTGACGGCATATATAGTGGACAGATCCGAGCGGTCATTGCTGTCAACTTTGTCTTGACTGCCATTCACACCATTAGTCTTATCTTCAGCAAAGTGTTTAAGCTTTTGGATTAACAACTCGTTTCTCAAAGTGATGGCAACGGGAACTGATAGAAGCAGTTGAATGGTGTCGTACCGGTGCTCACACTCATCACTGTTCAGATGGTCCACTATTTTGGTGACTATATCTTCGCAATAATCATCACATAATAGGCCTAAACACGAGTTGCAAACAAATTGAGTTTCAGTGAAGTCTTTGAATTTGACAACTGATTGATCGCCGGCTGTAAGCAATTCATTGATTAGCTCTGTGTTTGACTTCTTATATGTACTGAAGTTTTTGGTCAAACAAAATCTGTACAAACATTTTGCACATATTTTTATGTCACTTTCCAAACAAAATCTCAATGCAATTGATCTTAAATTAGTATTCATTTTCAATTAAAATCTTAATCACTATAACTGTAAATGTTTTGTTGCATTGAACATTTCAATTTGAAAACATGTGTGCATTGGTTGCGAAAATGCATAACAAATACACAACAGTAGCGCTATAGTGTCGATCACAGGTAACACTGAATGCATTGGTAATGCATACGAAACCAATGCTCACAATAGAGGGCCCAACCATAGCATTGCATTAGTTTGTGAAACAATGTAATCAATTTGTTTGATCAAAGAGGGGGCCAATTGTGGCACATATAACAAGACAGAAAATTCTTGAATCAAGAATCTTGAGGAATATTAAGTAAGTATTGTACAATAGTTGATACTAACTTTGGTTAAACGACCTAGTTCACTTGAAAACAAGTGTACAAAATAAATAAAATACAGAAAACATGAAATGATTGTAAATCTCGTGCACTATATGTATGTTTCGAATAACTTTCTATAATTCTGTTTAGTTTTGTGACAATTACTATATATATTAATAAGAGTTGACAGAATTGATGCATTGATTGAAAACATCTTATAGACGATGAAAGTGGAGAGGAATGTACCGAAAATCTCATTTCCATGGTTTATGAAGCGCTATATAGTGGTGTCCATTGTCTACATTTGTGTCAAGTATTTGATAGTCGAGGAGGAATTACGAGTCACGAGAATGTATGGCCGGACCACTGAATGGCAGATATGGCACTATAGAGGAGTGGTGTTTGGCTTCAATGGTCTCATAATTTTCCTCTATTTATTCGATTACACAGAGATTTGTTTGAAACTAATGCTAAAGAATATAATGGCAAACATCTGGTTCTACCCAATTGTCACAATCATACTCTTCTGCCTGTCCTACGGGTCACTCGTCATCTCATTGATTGTAATGAACCCCCAATGGCTTCAAGACTTCTACATTCATATCCTTTGCGTTGAGATTATATTAATTCAAGTATTCGTGTCATTTCATACCATTCTCATGGTGTGGAAACCAGAAATGTTTGATTAATAATGTATGGATTGAATCAATAAATTTATTGGATTCTTAAATAAATCCAAATTCTGTTTTAATATCTTATAAAATGTATTAATTTTTATAAAGAATAAAATAATTTCCTTTAAAATTGAACACAATTTTCCAAAACTCAACAGCAATTCAGATGCAAAACATATTCTGTTAGACTTACAATTCAATAGCTTTTGGAAAATATTGCAAATTATTTTATTATTTCAAAGACATAAATTTAATGAAAATAATAATTTAAACATCCAATTAATATCAATATAATATGCATTAAAAATTATAATAAATAAATATCCGTTTTATTTATCATCTTTATTATCCCAATCATTATCCCACGAGTGGTCAGTCCAACCCATCTCATCAGTCAACTCCTCATTGGCCGCGAATTTGTTGGAACTGTTAGTATCACTCGTGAGACCCATCAGCTGTTCTGCAATCAAATGCTTGTTTCCAAACTTAAACACCGGTTCCATATCCGAGAACAAGTTATCGATTTCGTTGTCTTCGAACTTGAAGTCCAACTCTTTTATATCGAAATCGTTTTGCAGTAAAGGAGTGCTCTTTTTGGGCTTTGCCTTCACTGTCATCGCATTCACAGACTTCTCTACTTCGCGAGGAATGCCACTCTTATTATCAGAGTTTGTCTCTAATGTCTCGCCACTAATACCTATATTGCCATTACTCTCACTCGCAGTCTCTGTTTCAGTCCATCCATTCAACTGGTTTTGAGCAATAGTGTGGTCATCGATCTGATCAACTTCTGGTGACTCGCGAATGTCAGAACTGGTCACAGACTCCACTTCTGTTCCGTCATTAATATAATGCTTAGGAATACCATTAGTGAAGAGCTTAAGTCTGGGCCCCAACACCACATTAGCACCAAATATGGTCACCAAATGTGATATGGCTTTGAATGTGAGGGCAACCAACTCGTCGTTCGTGTCTTTCATTGCAATCAGAATTTGTGGTAAAACTAATTGACGTAAACATGCGGTTGAGATAAAAGAGGCATAATTTGGCAGATATTGCAAAAGTAATGAACGAATCCTCAGATCTCTAATACAATAGAGTTTACAAATCAATGGAATGATTCGGGTTTTGAAGACCTTTTTGTTGAGTAATGGCTTCAGAGAAATGGTTTCCCCGGAAGTCAACACATAATCCATTTGTTCGTCGGAATCGTTGGCCGGAATCAACACAAATGGCAACAATTGGTTGTGAACTGAAGTGTTGGACATTATTAGCCGCGAATTGACTATAAGTGAGACTAAGCTAACAATCAGCTCATCCGACAATTGTCTCATTCTGTCGACCAAATCACTGAAGAACTCATTCTTCTGGCTCTCATTAAATGAGACAAAACTCGTCAGAAATGACTTAATTTTCACGAATTCTGAGTTCGCAAACAAATCCTCGCTTAAGAGGCTTCTCATAGTCGGCCTCTTCTCAGGACTACTACTTCCCAGACATTCAATGATTGGAGAGGACTGGAGGTCAGGCAGCAGTCGCTGCAACAGTACTCCCAAAGCGTAGGCATCTCTGCGATGAATTTGATCCTCATTTTGAATGCATTGGATTTGTTTCGACGAAATGTCTTCTGCGGGCAACGTATCGGTGGTTCCCAAGAAGTTATGGTAACTGAGGAGCCGTTGACAGAAGTCGTTGGTCTCCGATCGGGAACTGAGACACAGAAGTGAACCCAATTTCCAGGAGTCAGTCCTCTCGGAACGGCTCACGAAAATCGAGTCCAGACTCAGGTTATTGACAGACAGTCGACACGTGGTGTGAATGAAGGCCAAGCCGTTGATGATGTTGTGGACACCGCTGGCGATCACCTCTTTGTTCATTTGGGTCATCAACGGCTTGACAGGAGTGACCCATTCGGTGACCACACACTTGCGACCCCTGAAGAGTCCGCAGTCGTAGTACTTCACGATAAACGGGTGACGAATGGTCTTCCAGTGCTGCGCAACACATGCAATGAGTGGTCAATGAATGGTGCGATTCGTGGACACAAGACATCAATACTAACCGTTATATCAAACGCGAAGTTGTGGTCATTGAAGAGGAAGACCGAGAATTTGTTTGAATCGTGTTTTGCGTTCAGAAGTGAATAGTCTTTGCATTTGTACTGCAGAAGCCTCAGCTAGGTATTGAAGAACTTTTCTGACCAGAGTCGCGGGTAAGCCTGTCAGCTACCGACGCCCTCACAGTGGTGTTCACAGTGGTGTTGACCAGAGCGTTAGTGAGTAAGTGACGTTGTACACTTGGCATCAGATGTGTTGACAAACATTGAGAGCCAATGCAATGCATGTGTCGACCAATGAGCGCACGGCTCGCACCTCAACCGTGAGTCAAGTGCTCCCATTGGACGCAATGTGTGCGCACTATTCGCACACAAATACAATGCAATGAATTGGCGTTCGATTTGCTGTGCATTGACTGTCCATTGAATGGTCTTCACTCATGACTCATAGAGTGATTGATAGAGTGATTGCTTGTGTGCACTGATTGTGTGACGCATTCACTCATTGGCACTGAAATGATGGCAACACGAGTCAAGACAGACATCAACACAGAGGTGAGTCATAGCACTGACCACTACCTCCGCAGCCAGTGATGACACCACTGATTGTCTCGCAGGCGAAGGTGGAGCTGTTCCCGTCTGTGGTGACGTCGGAGCAGATGTCGCTCAACTACATGAAGCGCTTGACAGCGGTGGCCATCAGTAATATCCTGTATCTGCGGAATGTGTTCACCGAAGAGTGCTATGGACACCGAAAACTGGACTCAATTAAGCTCAGGATTCTCACCGAAAAGTGTCAGACAGTGGGCGCCAAACAGATCGTCAATTGGGTGAAGGGTTTGTGTCCAACGCTTGTGTCAACGCATGAGTGGATCCACTGATGGATTGTATGACTCATTGAATGATAGGTTGTTTCGACGCCATGGAGAAGAAGTACTTAAAACAACTGACTTTAGGTATATTCACGGATCCCATGAATCCCGAAGAACTCATCGAAGCCTATACTCTGCGCTTCACTTACGACGCGAATCGCGTCAATTGTGACCTCTCTTTGTATGAATGCACGTCTCGGTGACACCGTTGACACCAATTGTCTGAACCACTGACCACTGTATGTCTCACACCCGCCAACAGGTCGTCCAACGCGAGTAAGAGTGAGCGCCAGGCGTGGGAACAGATGGTGAACAACGGGTTGCGACAGTCGACGACCCAATTGTTGCGATCGATCATAATTATGGTCCAAAGCCTCGACAGACTGCCCGCCGACTGCTTCCTAACGATGAAACTCTTGTATTACGACGACATCACTCCCGAGGACTACGAGCCGCCGGGCTTTGAGGCGGCCGACAAAGACTCGTTCACTTTCAGAGGCAAACCCATTAGCATCAGCGCCGGTCAAGTCGTGACACCCTTTCATTCACTCAAAGTCAAGATCCGCACAAATCAGGAACAGTTCCAAGACTTCGCGTCGTCACCCGATTCAGAGACTCACGAATCGCGGTATAAGAGCCAAGAGTTGGCCGATGAGTGCGTGCTGACGTGCGGAGACCGGTAGCTACTCCTGTAGCGGCTACTCTTGGTTACGCACGGAGTGTTATCTCTGTTTACGCCGTTGTCTAGGTGCTGACTACGCAGGTTTGACAGGCTGTTTAGCCACCGCAAAGACGCGACCGATGATTGGCTGCAAATAAAACCGCAAACTTATGGCTCAAACAGTAAGCAACAGAAGCAGCAGAGCGTCGAAAGCAAAGTG